TTGTGGCACGGGGAGGTCTCAGAGTGAGGAAGGGGCACCGAGCTGTTTGACTCTGCCCCATGCTCTCTGAAGGATGCTCCGTGCTTGGTCGCAAGCAGGGTGACACCAAGAGGTTTTCAACCCTTCGATGTATTCTCCAGCACCGCAAGCCTTCCCCTTTGGTTTGGCAGGAGCCTTAAAGACTCTTCTTGCCTGCTGAAGCAAGGCGTCAGGGGCAAGCCGGGGTCTGGGTGCACCGGGCACGCTGCCGGGGAGCAGACCTGGCGCGGGGGCGAAGCTGCGGGGGTGGGCAGGGACAGGGACCCCCTCAGCGATGCTCCCGGGGAAGGGGGGAGCGAGCCGCTTTTCGGTACTTCTTCTAAAGAGAGGGAGAGATCAAAAACGCCATGGTCTGTGGACGCCCTGCGTAGCCTTTATTTATCTTTGTATTTCTGTGGATCAGCTTAACCGCAGGTTGAGGGTTTTAACCAGAAAATTATAACTCCTAATTTAAGCGGCGGTTTCAGAAAGTGTTCAGCGTGAAGACAAGTATCAGGAGAGAAATGAGAGACCCTGGGAACCGAGCTTGTTGCTAAGAAACAAATGGACTAAAAATGTGAACAGAAAATTGCTAAATGAGAGCTATTTAGAAATATTTTTCTAGGGGCCCACAAAAGCCACAATGCAGGGCTGAGACGGACGGCTGCAACAGTTTAAAGGGAAAATCGTGAATTGCCCGTGGTCTGTGCTGTGCACAGAGCCAGCACAAACCGTCGCAGTCGTCCTCTGCGGTGTTGGCATCGACAGATCTGTGAGCCCAGGAAAAATGCGCTCAGGATTTTCAGATGTCTGTAATTTTTCTGTCCTTCTTTCATTTAAAGCAAGAGCCTCCTTCCATTTCTACCACCACCATAAGCAGAGAAACTCGAGGGGCTTGGAAGCTTCCCAGAATCGCGGTCCTTCTGTCCTTCCATAATAACGGGGTTGTTGCTGGTTTTGTACTTCAGACCCTCGGGCAGGGCAGCGCAGGCGCCTGCCTGGCACTGGCAGCCCCCGGGGACCCCCAGAGCCGTCGGGGTTATTTGCAGTTTGGGTAGCCCAACAAAGTGCTTAAACACTGGGACTTAGTGCCTTCAGAAGGACCCTAAAGCAGTGTATGTCCAGCTTTAAGGGCTTTCCAAAGAAGTTGTTAGTGCGGTCAGAAGTATTATTTGTTATCCATTGATACACCAACGGGAGCGGCGCTTGATGCTAAGCCCTGCAGCAAGCTCTGGGTGTTCCTCCACGAGGCTCCTAACAGCCATTCCTTATCTGTGTCCCGGAGGCTTTCCTGATAACCCAGTCTTGGCAAATAAGCCGCCTCCTTTTCCCTGCAAGAGCTGCAGTACCTGGGATTTATCTCCTGGATGGAGCTGGAGGCATTTGCTGAGAAATTTTAGCTTAAGGTGCGTGCTGCGGGTGTTGACCTGTTTTCCCTGCTTTGGCCATCCCAGGAGGATGAAGCAGCTTGCTTGCACCCCTCCCGCAGATGTTACTGTGTGGTAATGTTTTATTTCAGCAGCATTGTGTAGCTGGTGGAAATACCTGGTGGTGGCCATGGGATGTTACGGACTGTCCCTCTTGCCGGGCACAGTCCTCAGAGTCGCTTCTGCTCCTACCTGGCATTGCCCAGGAGACACGGAGCTGGGGAGGCCACGGCCAGCATGGCACGGCATGGCACGGCATGGCACGGCATGGCACGGCATGGGGACCTGGCTGCTGGGTCAGCATCTCCTCCAGACAGCTCCTGCCTGGGAGGAGACGTCCCACAGGGTGGGCACCCACCCGGGAGCCCACCAAGACCAGCACGAGGAGCGGGGCAGGTCCCATCCAGGCACCTGGCGCTCGTGAGGACTGAGCAAAGCCGAGGAAGGCTCAAAATACAGGAGGATATACTGGCTGAGGAGCACATCTCCCGGCCAGCCCGCCCAGCAGCAATGCCTGTCCACCTTCATCTCTAAATTCCCGCGGGCTGGTGGCTGTGCATCTGTCGTGGTGTCACCCGGCCGGCAGCTAAAACAACCACGCAGCGTTGGCTCGCTCCTCCCCGGTGGGATGGGGAGAGAACTGGGGGAAAAAAGTAGAACTTGTGGGTTGAGGTAAAGACAGTTTAATAGGACAGAAAGGGAAGAGAATAATAATGATGATACAAGAATACACAAAACAAGTGAGGCACAGCACAGTTGCTCACCACCCGCAGACCAGTGACGCCCAGCTAGTTCCCGAGCCGCGGTCTGAACCCCCAGCCGGCTTCCCCCCAGTTACGTATGGAGCATGACACCGTATGGTATGGAATATCCCTTTGGGCAGTCGGGGTCAGCTGTCCCGGCCGGGGCCCCTGTGCCAGCCCCTCGCTGGCCGGGCAGGGTGAGAAGCTGAACAGTCCTTGACTTGGTGTAAACATCACCCAGCACCGACCAAAATATCAGTGTGTTATCAACGGTATTCTCAGCCTACATCCAAAACACAGCACTACAGCCACTGCTGGGAAGAAAATTAACTCTATCCCAGCCAAAACCGGGACAGCAGCAAACCCTTGGCTCAGCACATCTGTTTTTATCCCAATAGCAGCGATTTCAGCAGAAATCCTCTCCGCTAGGTTTGTTTGCCTTGTTGACCGTTTGTTCTTGTTGGCTGGATTGTATAAGGCACTTTGATCTCCATGAGTAATGCTCTGTGCATCTGTCACCGCAAACTCCAGCGGCCTGCGGCTTGTGCAGCCCACATGTGATGTTATAGCGCTATTATTTACTTATCCAGCAGAAAATTTTTCTGTCCTTCTTTCCAGCTTGTGGGTTTCTTTTATACTGAACGATCTCAAAGAGACCATTATGGTGGAGGAGGGGGTGCCCTCAACAAAGCCGCCTTTTCCCTACTAGGACAACACCCATGTTATTATCCCCTGCTTCAAAAATTTCTCTTCTAGAAGAGATGCAATTCATGGCGATAGGTCATAGGAAAGACCTATTAGATGATCTTACCCAATGCCTTTCACAATGTCCGTCTCCCGGGAAAATTGTCGCTGGCTGGAGCGCGGGTGAGGGATCACCCTGAGCAAAGTACCCTGCACTGCCAGCCCTGCGCTGGGACGGTCTTTCACGGGGAGACAGCACCGGGGGTAGATCTGGCCGGTAACAGCACTGCTTAGCGGTGTGACCGGTATCTCCTGCTCCTGCCTCCTGGCACCGGGGACCCCGTGTCCCAGCTGAGACTGGCACAGGTGACGCCTTGGGACGCAGGTGGGTGGTGGGAGCGCGGCAGAGAGATGTGGAGCCCCTTCTCCCTGCACCCAAAGCGTCGCGGTGCGTGGGATGGTCGAGCACCCGCTTCGGCGTCTCGGAGGGGAGAGCGGGCGCTGCTGTGGCACCGCTGCCGGCCCCTTCCCCGCTCCTCCTGCTGCAGCCTGTGTCACCCGCGCTCCCGTCCCTGACGTTTGCATCTCTCTTCCTTTCCCAGTGCTCCATGACGTGTGGAAACGGGACACAGAGGCGCCCTGTTTACTGCAGCAACAGCACTGGAGCCGCGTGTGACCCTGCAGAAAGACCCAGCTCGGAAACTATTTGCTCCTTGCCGCAGTGCCAGAAGAAATTAGACAATACCAACACAGACTGGTCTGGCAGTGGGTCCTCCAGCAGAGAGATATTTAATGAAATCCATTACATCCCCAGCAACCACATTGCTAAATTTAACCCCTTAATTCCAAGTATTCCGGAGTCCAACGATGTCAATATCATCACTGAAGAGGACTTCTCAGCCAGAAAGGGAAATGTCTTTGTTGACGATTTCTACTACGATTATAATTTCATCAACTTCCACGAGGATCTGTCTTACTATCCCTTCACGGAGAAGGAGACCAAAGGCGAGGAGCCTAAGCCAGAGCTGAGCACCAACAATGTGGAGGGGTCCCGTGAGTTGCCCGCTGATGTCCTGCACACTGCCATGCCGGGAGGAGCAGCGAGCGAGGACCATCTGGTGACCAGCGAAGCAAACACTTTTCTTCCTGTGCATGGCGAAGGAGAGACGGAGCCTGGGGGTTTAGCCATGAACGACCTCCGGAGCGTGGTCCCTGAGGATGCGGGGACAGCCGCTCCCAAATACGCCATCCCCGACTTCACGGGTGAGGAGGAGGACGCAATGCTTGTGCCCCGCTCTGAGGACCACCTGCCCACCTGGAGCACCACGAGTCACGATTCTGCAAACAGCCACGACCACCCGCCCCCGGATGAACCCTGGGGAGCTGTTCCAACGAGGACCGGTCCTGGGCAGGATGCTCCAGCTCATGGCCCCCCTTCCCCCGGCCGACCCCCCCCCACCACTGCCTGCTGGCAGGGGCAGCGCTGGCGCAGACGCCTCCGACAGTCTGGGAGAGCTGGGGAGCAGCGGCGAGGGGCGTACGAGCACAGAGGGGCCGGGTAACGCCGGCAGTGAGGAGCACGACGTGGCCAGCTCTGCAGGGAGAGGCCGTGAAGACTCAAGGGAAATGGGTCTCGTCATCACCAGTAGCGCTAACAGTGCTGCCCC